ATATATACTTATTATTTATTGTACTTTCTATTGCATAATATTATGAAAAATATACAAGCCAGTTATATAAATTGTTTCAAGTCAAACAAATTATCAATTAGAAAATATAAAAAAAAAAATTAAATTTTAAAAATCTTAAAAAATCTTTTTTCGAAAATTTGTAATTATAATGTGATATATGAAATATTTAAAGTACAAGGATAAATTTTCAATATTAAATTTTAAATCTTCTTAAATGAAAATGCCAAATTTTGTTCAGATAAGATATGGATAACGAATTAATAGCTATAATTTTTCTTATCCCTTTTAATTTTTTATGTAATTAATTTTTGTATTATAAACTATTGAAATTTTATCATTTCTTTTTCTAGATTTTTATGATTTCAAATATCATTAATATTCTATTTTTTAATTATACATTGGAGTAAATAGAGTAAATGTAAATTACTAAGAGAAATTATTATAATCCCTGACGAGAAATTCGTTATCCTCGATATAAAACATAAAAATGAATATAAGATACTTTTACATATAATTTTATATATTTTTTTTAGACATTGTTTGAAAATCATGTGAAAATCATCATTGTTTGATTTTTATATATATATATATACATTATATTTTATCCGTTTTATGATTTATACCATTTAAATGATTTATATCGTTTGTTATGTTTAATAATATATATGTTTAATTATATTTAATAATTACATTCAATTCAGAGTTTATATTAGTATATATTTTTAACATGAAAAGATATTTTAATATCGTTTTATTTTCTTCTTATTTTGATTTTCATTAGTTCTTTTCCCAGTAAATTTTTCAAGTTCTCTTTTTCTGTGATTATTAAATTCTTTATGTTTATTTTCTTTCATATCATATTCATGAGATTTTTTATGCTTGGATTTTTTTTCATGTTTAAATCTATTTCTTTTTTTCCTATCTGTTTTATTTTTTTCCTTCTTTTCTTGATAATTCTTAGAATCTCCATTTGAAATAGAATTTCTTTTTTCTTTTTTTTCCTTTCTAAATTCTTTGTATCATAGCTATTTGTGATGCTACTACTGGTATTAGTACTTTGAATACTACTATTACTATTACTAGTACTATTACTAGTACTACTACTATTACTACTACTAGTACTACTACTACTATTACTACTACTACTACTACTACTAGCATCGCTGCTGATGGAATTGTCACTATCGCTATCTATATCACTTTTATTTTTTTTATGTTTATATTGTTTTTTCAATTTTCTTTTTTCTGCTTTTTTAGTCCTTTTTTCAAGTTGTTGTAATTTCCTATAAATGTTAACATTATTAATTAATCTCAATTATTCTCAAATTACTATATTATAAATATTATATAAATATTTGTCAACATACATTAATAATTTCTTTTTTTGCTTTTTAGAAAGTGTTTTTAGGAATGTAATTTCAGATTGTTCTTCATCATCTGAAACCATAAGATGTTCATGCTCAGGAACTCGTAGATGTTGTTGAGCACTAAGAGCTGATCTATAATGGAATTAATATAGCATATTAGAAAAAAAAAATATTTATTAAAATTAAAATCAGAAAAAAATTTTTTAAATTTATCTTTACTTTTTAAGTGCTAATCCATCTTCTCTCATTTGTTGAACTAATGTTAAAGCATCTGGAGTAGATGTAGCTGGTGAATTATTTGCCATTACTACACTCATTGCCTGACTATACAGAGGACATTCTTTATCTGCAATTAAAATATATTATTGAATAATTAATTTCTTATATTTAATTTTATTCTTTTCATATTATTTCATATATATATTTATAATATGTATATTTTTATATTAACCTGTATTTATATGTCCCCATTTATGACATTTGATACAACGGACATTACGTACTTGAATACCAAATGGTTGATCTCTTATTTCACTATCTCCTTTACAATAACTTTCTCTTGGTGCATTATACTTGCGTTGCCATTCAAATTTATATTCTGGTTCATTGTCTTCTTTTTCTCTTTCTTTTTTTGCTCCAGGTGGTGGTTCATACATAAAATTTACACTAAGTTTGTCCTTACTTTCTTTACTCAATAAAGCTCTACAAAAAATAAAGTAATAAAAAATATAAGAAAGATATTTTAAAAAAATTAATTAAAAGAATATGATTTTACTTATTATTATGAAGATCTTGTTCTTTTTCATATTGAACACGTAATTCCTCTTGTTTTTTCTTATAAGCCTCTGCTTGTTGTTCAGCCATCCATACCTTAAAAAATAACATAAAAATAAATATATAACATAATAAATACATAATAATATAAAATAATTATTATATAAATAACAAGTAACCTAAAAAATTGAGAAAACATACTCGTTTTAAATTGTCTCGAGATGCTGGATGAAAAAATTTTTTGCACATGTAATTATTAAATCCCTTTCCCATTTTATATAATTAAATAAATACGTTTTAATATTCAATTAATTAACATTAATATTTATAATAAATCAATAATGAAATAAATATACACAATATAATAATTCGATCATGTAACTTTTACTAATATCAAACAGTGTTGTCAGACGAGCACGGTATACTACTCCCTCTACAAAAAGTAGCAACAAATTTTCATAGGAGAAGAATGATGTCGCCATTACTATTGTTAAATTAAGCAGAGACACACCATGTATATAACAGGATGCAACAGGTGATTTTTAATTTGTATGCTGAGATTTTGCTGTAGCTGTGAATATTAGTACTAAATTAAACATTTGCAATTGTTTTAAAATGTCTTTTTTTATGAAAATACACAATATTGATGAAATATAAAAAAAATAAATAATAATAAAAGAATAAAAATTAAATAATTATTATAAAAATACACAATGATATAATATATAATATATAAATAATTTAAATATAAGCTTAATATATAAATATATAATGAATATATAAATGAATACAAATATATAAAAATTTATAATATAATATTTTAATTAAAATTAAAATTTTTAATATATTTTAATTAATTAAAATTTATAATATATATATATATAAAATATAATATAAATATATAATATGTATAAATTTATAAATTTATTTTTTAATAGTCATTTTATTTGCTGTCATTTATATCATTCTGATCAAGAAGTAAAATCCCAGTTCATTCTTCTAATGTTATTCATTTTTTGAATATATTAAAATTAATAATTTTAATAATTAAATTTCTAGTAATTAAATGTTATTCATTATTTTTAATTCTAAGTTTTTATTTGTTATATTACATGTATAATTTTATATATGTATAATTAATTAATATGTATATATGTCACTTTAATATGTATAATTAATTATTGTATAATTATAATTGAAAAATATTTTTTTTATGTTTGCATTGGAATGCAATAATGTCAAATATTAAATAATGATAAAAAAATTACTATATCTGCAATGTTTTTAAACATCAATTTCTCTTTTATATTCTTAATTATATTTTAAAATTTTATTTTAAAATTTACTTATGTTTAATTATAACAATTTCTTTTCAATTATGAAAAAATAAAATGGCAATATCTATCATTCATTCAATACTAAAGATTTATGAAATTTTCTTTTATATTTATTATATAAATTTGTTGTATTTGTTTAATTGTATGTATTTTATTAAAAATTATGATAATAAATATAAAAATTTCTTATTAAATTTAGACATTCTTTTATACTTTTATTAAAAGTGTAAATTTGATAAAATTTTTAAATATTAATTTTATTATTTTTTTATTATTTGGTTAATTAAATAATTTTAAATCCTTAATATCTATTATTTGTAAAACTTTATTGTGAATAACAATGCATTCTGAAGAAAGTAGATTGTTTTTCATTGACATTAGTTTTATATAAGTATCTAATATTTATTAAAATTTATAATACTTATTTAAATTATATAAAAATTTATATAAATCATGTTATGTAAAATTTAAAAATTTGCTATTCAAAAATTTAAAAAATCTAAAACATTTGGGAAACAGATAATATTAAAATGTTATTATTTTGAAATCATATTAGAATCTGCTAACATTTATAATATAAATTTTAAAAGTTCTAAATATACTTTGATAAATGAGCAAGAAAATAAATATTATAATATTAATAGTGCACTTTTAGATTTTATTCTCTTGTTTGCAAAAATATTATATAAAATTGTCTATTGCTATATATATTTTCAAACAAAGCCATGGATAAATGAGACATTTTGTTTTATTTTTTATATATATAAATAGCATAAATTTTTGAAAATTTTTTAAAATTCTTTTTTTGAATTTTATAAGAAATATATATAAATTGAATATAATCATTAATTTCATCAGATATATTATTACTATATAAATTTGAAACTAAGTACATAGAATGACAAATATATTTGAGAAAATTTTCTCATTAACACTTGTATTAAACAAGAAATTAATAAATTTTGCCTTCTTAATATATAGACATATTGTTCATACATATTACAAATATATTTTTCAATGATAATTACATTTTTGTGTATAAAACACTTATATAAATTTTCTGCAAAATCATTTAGAATCAAATAAATTTATACTTTCATTGATATACTTCATTGACATGTCATATCAAAATATATAAAGTTCTATATATTTTGATATCTGATCAATATTCTTATATATTAATAATAAAAAAATATTTATTTTGTACTATTTCTATTTTTTTTTTTAATATAATAGATTTATTAATAATATTTTATATGATTATTTTTGTTTTTTCAAAAAAAATTTTTTTTTATTGTATTTAAATCATACTATTTTACATAATTCAAAATGTTAAAATGAATAAAAACTTCTATCTTAATAATGTTCAGAAAATATCTTAACTCTCTTTTTTTTTATATGTTTCATGAAAGATTGATTGATTTTTATTCTAAAGATTATTGGCTTTTTTTCTTCTATATTTTCATAATAAAATTTATATTATGATTAATTGAATTCTTATTCTTCAGTTTCTGGTCTATTTATCATTATTAGTTTTTTCCTGTTATAATAATTTTATTGCATATTTTTCATTTCATCTTGTATGAGTTATTTTTCAAGCGAAGACTTCAAATCTGAATCCTGCAATTATACATCATAATTGTTTCTTTCTTTTGAAAAAGGAGAAGAAAACATATTGTTATTGCGATTATCACTATTATTTATAAAATAGCCATATTATTATATATTATAAATTTTAAACAATTTTTTAAATTACATTATATAATGTAAAATATTTAAATCTCTATTACTCATTTCGAAACTGCAAAGTATTAGAAAACAATAAAATTAAAAAAAAATCAACACATTACAAAACTATAAACTGCATTTCAATAAAAGTAGTTTGACGCCTTGATAAGGTTAGGTTTTAACCAGATTTCTATCAAAATTAAATGTTGCATCACGTGACATATTTCCGCATAATCTAATACTAGTAATAGAAATAATAACATCAAATTCTATGCTAAGAATAATAGATAAGAAATGAAGTTGTGAAAATATAAATAGTTGACAGTTGATAGTTAATATCGTCAATTTATATCTCCTCTATTACTTAATCTCTCACAAAGTGTGACGTCAAACTCGCGCGTAATAGTTTTTTCAGTCAAAGAAGGTTAATATAACAGTAAATATTGCAATTTTATGTCAAATATTTTATAACGCAAGAAATACGTAACATATAAATATATCTTATATAAATATATTATTGTCAGAAAAGATAATAGTTTATATGCTATTATAGATTGGTGAAAAAGTGCTCTATAAAAGAAAGTTATTATAATATAGTGCTAGGTAGTATTATAAATATTAGAGATTTTTGTCGTATATTGTTAGAAGTATATTAATTGAAAATTTTTATTTATTTTAATATATAAGGTTATTTCAGTTCGATATAAAAATTCAAGAAAAAAAAATACTAGGATATATTATTTAAGAAAGATATTATATAAAATTAATCAATTTATTTGTGACTTATTTTAAGTGAATTATTTTAGAGTTAATTTGTCCTATTAGAAATACAATTTCAAATGCAATGAAAATAAACGAGAAAAACATGGTAGCTTTTGCAACTTCGGCAACACCAGTGGATCGTGAAGGCTGGTTATACAAACGTGGTGAATTAAATCGTGGTTATCAAAAAAGATGGTTTGTTCTCAAAGGAAATATATTATTTTATTTCGATCGACGCGGTGACAAAGAACCAGTTGGTATGATAGTTCTTGAAGGTTGTACTATCGAATTGGCAGAAGATGAGGAACAATTTGGTTTTCAAATTGTATTTCATGGTCCAAATAATAGAAATTATGCTCTTGCAGCAGAATCTCAAGTAAAGATATTTTTTAATTCTAAAATATTAATTATTAATCCTAGAATAATAGACAATGCACAAGATAGGTATATAATTAATTTTTAGGAATCTATGGAGCAATGGATGAAAGCTTTAGCATGTGCAAGCTATGATTATATGAAATTAATGGTAGCAGATTTACAAAGACAATTGGATGCTGCAGAAGAAGAAACAACAATGGTGGTAGCTCCTTCACAATCTCCTAAAGCTCCACCAAGGCAACGACATAATCCTTTTAACAGATCAGAATTTCATCATCGTTCACAGAGTGTTAGATCTGCTCCTGGAAGAACAGAAAATGTTCCAAGAACAAGGATAACATTCCGTGAATTGCATAATATGTATGGTAGAAGAATTTTAGCTGATTTAAATGAATGGAGACACACAAGGAAAGCTGCTGAAGCTCCCTTGATCAGTTTTTAATAATGCATTATATATAAATTGTAAATATTTAATTCAATGTAAGATTATAAAGTAGTCGATAAAAGAAATATATTAAGTTCGTAAATTTGTCTCATCTACATGTTTGAAAATCGTGATAAATGAAAAGATAAAAAAAAATTTCATGACAATTTTTCACTAATTATTATTAAAAGATAAAATGCTATATTTAATTTTAAATATTAATGTATAATTTTTAATGGTGCTATTTGATATTTTATTTTAAGATCTCATTATATTTCTTCCATCGACTATATATACATTAAATATTATTGGAATGTATCATTTATTTTTATAAGATCAAAATATTTACAATCAATATACAACAAAATATAATTATAAATTTTAATCGTTATTAAAATATTACAAATTATTGCTGTCTCAAATAGAAACTGTGCCTGTAAAATACAATATATTCATTATTATTAAATTATATTGAGAACTAATTCATATATTGTAACATGATTCACATAATTGTGAAGTGTAAAATGAATTAAAATTATATTGAAACAATAATTCTTAGGTATCATAAATAAATATCATATATCTAAATAAAAGATATATGATAAAAGATACTATTTACAAAACATCAAATTTGGATTAAAAAAAGAAATTTGGACAATTTGGATGAAAAATGTCCAATAAATTGATAATAAAGTTTTAAATAATTAAAAATTCTATAAAAAAATAGCACTTTGATTTAATAAAAAAAATACTTAACATTGCATTAACAATTTTCTTATTAGATATTTTATTAGAATAAATATTGACATTTTGCATATTTGTGTAAATAATATATTCAAATACAAATTTAAAAGATTATTTAAATTTAAAGACACCTTTTTTTTTCA